GCGGGAAAATCCTGGGGGTTCTCTCAGACAATCCTCAGGGATATACACCATTATAGTGAGACCGATAGTGACCTACGGTGCGGTGGCTTAGAGTTCCAGAACTACCCTGGAAACGGTGAGTCGCATATGTCCGACGGCGGCGCTGGAGGTTATGCAGGAAATCGAGCCACTGCATATTTCAGTAGAACCGGCTGCAAAGCGAACCCTCCTCAATTTTGCGAGGGAGGGATTTGGTAAAGGCAAGGTGTTATCATCTAGGAACAGGGAAAAGATAGGCACCCAGCTTCCCCTATCTTTGTTCCCCAGGGACAATATTAACAAAGAGGTGGTTTTCAAAAGAAACTTCAAGATCTACACTTACAACAAGGCGACCTGGCACCTGGTACTTCTATTATGGAGAGTCACATACAGGCGAGCACACTACAGTGGTACACTGATGGCTATAAAACACCTGGAGTAATGGGAGCTGGCGTGTACGGCCCCAGGCTGCAGCTTTCGGTGCCCTTGGGAACCTTCCCTAGCATCTTTCAAGCGGAGGTTTACGCAATTAGTCTGTGTGCTGAGATCAACATTCGTAGAAAGTATGGGAATGAAAGGACAGTTATATTAAGCGATAGTCAGGCGGCACTTATGACCCTCTCATCATTCGAGATCAAGTCCTCCTTGGTACTGGAGTATGTAGAGAGGCTTAATGCTCTGGCAGAGGTTAATGAGATTCAACTGATGTGGGTACCAGGGCACAGGGGTTCGTAGGTAATGAGTAAGCTGGTCATCTGGCCAGAAAGACCGCTGCCTCGACCCCGATAGGACCTGAGCCCTTACTTGCAGCGGGACCCAACACTATAAAGGAAATGCTCAGAAAGGAAAATACCAAATTGAAGGAACTGCACTGGCGTAACACCATGGGTCTACGTCAGGCACAAAGCATACTAGGTGGAAACAATCTGATAAGATATAGGTTTCTCATGGATCTCCCCAAGGAGGCCATTGCAGGCTTAGAGGGCTTATATAAACTAGGAATCTGGTCCAGCGACCTGTGTCTTTTGCGATGCGGCCAAGGAGACTCCATTCCTTCTTAAGGAGTGTGAGGCCGTTGCACGCAGGAGGAATAGGAGCATAGGGCACCTGTGGCCAAGAGCGGAGCACATACACTCACTATTCCAGGGATCTACCCAGTGGGAAAAGTGGTAATGCATTACATGCGTGATAAATAATATAATGTATTTCTAATGAGTTGTAGATTCTATTACGGTTTAATATGTAATCAGAATTCTAATGTATCCAAAAACTCGCAAAAATTTCATATTAAATCACATTCATTCTTGCACTACTGGTAATGAAGAAATGAATGCCCCACTTTTCCTAGGACATCAACGTAGGAAAAATAATGCATTTTCGAAAGTGAAAACGACTGTTTTACCGATTATCTTTTCGATTATTATACATTACTTTTTCCCACTGGGTATTATGAAATTTTTAAAGTCTCTGGGGCTGGTCGAGGTGTTTTGATGAGCTAAAGGCACAATAGACCTACCGGTCACAGTGCTACACCTAACTATCTATCTATCTATCTATGTATAAAATAAAAGTAACAAACCAAAAGAAATAATTCAGTTCTCAAAAAGTGCACTTTCTACCGATTCTCCGCCGATTTCTCAATGTTTTTTTTAATTTAAATTGACTTGGAAAATAGTCTTTCCGCGGAAGCAGAAGGAGTAAAAATATATTTAATCAGTTTATACATTATAGGAAAACACCGTTCTCCGTAATTTCGCATCATATTAAATATAACAGACCAAAAGTCAGTGGTTTCTTGAATGTCACTATCAATATTCCTTATTGACCGAAATTCATTGTCAATTGTTATTAAATCATCCTCGCTAATCACGGCCTTAAATTGATATTTGGCCTTTTGTATTTTGACATCAATAGATTGGCAATGCTTTAAAATTTCTTCATATTTTCCAGAGAAACGTTTTCTTATTCCCTCTATGACACACACATAATAACTAATACATTTCTGTCTAAATTCATTTAACGCGTGTTCTTCAATGTTTAGATGCCTGTTTGCCTGTATTTTGTTGTTGCTTCGGGTATCGAAGGTGCCAAAAACTGTTCTGATTTTTTTCTTTTACATCAAATCGAGCCATGCGAAATACTAAAAAAATAAAAAATTTAACTTGAAAAAATGAAAATTGTTGCAACTTTCTTTCTTAGTAAATTGGTTCGCTTCTCGAAGCATTGATCCATCCTGTGCCAGGCCCAGTAATCAGCGGTTGTGCTGCTGAATTGGGCGAGCGTTCCAAAAGCTGCTATTTAATCGCTGGTTTTGTATGGAAAATGTTTCACCTGCAAATAAATTTTAACAATTTAGAGTTTTTGTGAGAACAAATTAAAAATATTTAATATTTTCGAGAACAAATAATTTGAAAAAAAATCAAATCAGCTGCTATACTGATATTACATGTTCAATGTGCCTTGGTTTAATTGTATTTTTGGAATAAACAAAGTTCTTTTTCCTTATGTCAGTAAACTGTTTTTTTTACAAATAGTATAAATAAGCAGTGGGAAATAAAGCAAAATTTGTTTTATTTCCAACCTTTGTTGGAAGTAAAGCAAAACTCAGATTTTGGTATTATTTCCCATTTAAAAGTGAAATAAAGCAAATTTGAAATAAGTATTGAACGTGTAGCACTTTCAAAACGCGATCCATAATTTCGCCAATACATCTTTTACTCGAACGTCCCCTCTGCCTTCGCTCTCGGGCCTTAAAATCTTTCACACCAAATTTTATTTAACATTGGAAATTTTAAAATAATTGTGGAGTGCATTATCTGTAAATTATACGTACAAAATAAAAATATTTTATTGCGTCATAAAAAGCATTCAGCACAAAAATTATGCAAATACTGACGCGATAAATATTGAACATGTAGCATTAGTGCGCGATCCATCAATATGGATCGCGATCGAAATATCGCGATAATTACTGACCGTGTGTCAGAGCCCACTGCCTTAGGTGAAACAGTGTTACTTCTTTAAAAATTCTTTGCCTAAGAATATAGTTGAATTTTTTTTTATTTTTCCTCTGTATACACATCTTATTTCCTCAAAAAGGTATTTTATCTTATTTTATTTCATTTCATTACCAATATACTATTAAAAAAACAAACTTAATAAAATATGAAATTTTATATATTTCCACCAAATGGGGATTAATTTGTTCCCGTGTTTCTTTATATTCTACTGAGCTAAGGGAGTGTCAAATCCAGCTGTCACAACTGATACCACCTTGTCATGATTCAACAATACAAGATTAGATAACTATTGACAGCGCGGTTTGATACTCCCTTACAAAAGGTTGCATTTACGAAGGACAGGGAAAGGGGAAGAATGCAATCCCTTGTTGCGAAAATGGTAGTAGAAAAGTACGCAATAAATTGTTTGCACTTCCACTAGCAAATTTTCATATAAAAAGTGCAGCTACCACTCGTACCTGCATAAATGCATGATCTTTTCAGTGTTCACATGTGATTTGTGTGCATTAAAAGTATTTTATTTTATTATTTAACAATATAAAACGCGTTTAATCATTTCACTACTTTTCTACAACAAAGTAAAAAAGCAAACAAATCAAAATGGATATATTACCCGAAAAAAAAGTGCTACCAGATGTTGGAAAAGTAAGGACAGTAAAATACGCAACTTATATTTCATAATGATCTCCACAACATAAGGGTAAAAAAATCAAAAAACCTTAAAAATGGGAAAATTTGGAATAAAAAATCGTACGATATTTTATTCCGAAATTTCGCCCGCGGCGCTATTTAAGAAAAAATCAATAAAAAGGTGAAAAAAGGGAAAATTTTCGCCTGCGACGCTATTTAAACATTATTAAAATCGTCTGGCAGCACCAACTTTGGTGTTCAGTTGAAACTCTAGTATGTTTACTACTTCACTACTTTTATAAATGATTTATCGTGTTAACTTAACAAAAATACCATACTACTTAAAAGAAAATGGTCACGTGCATTAAAAGTGTTCAGAATTAAGTCACATTTATCTACTTCACGCACTTTTGGATGATAAAAAGAATGCAATTTGCATGAACATATTTGGTGAATTTCGCAGCTTTCACAACAAATTATTTAAAAAGTATAAGAGTGCGCGGGTTGAGGTCTTCACTCTTAGAATCAAAATACCCCCGCCCCCAAGCGCTTATTGCTTGACATCTATTTATTTATTTATTTATATATTTTTTACAGTCTGCTAGANCGTGTTAACTTAACAAAAATACCATACTACTTAAAAGAAAATGGTCACGTGCATTAAAAGTGTTCAGAATTAAGTCACATTTATCTACTTCACGCACTTTTGGATGATAAAAAGAATGCAATTTGCATGAACATATTTTGTGAATTTCGCAGCTTTCACAACAAATTATTTAAAAAGTATAAGAGTGCGCGGGTTGAGGTCTTCACTCTTAGAATCAAAATACCCCCCGCCCCCAAGCGCTTATTGCTTGACATCTATTTATTTATTTATTTATATATTTTTTACAGTCTGCTAGACTTATATTGCAACAAAGATTTAACATTCTTATAATTAGATTTTAGATTTAAAATGTAAATATTAAATATTAAATACAAAATTGCAGGCAATTCGATAGTTTGACAGCCATATTTTAATTAACATCGATGAAATTTTAATATTAAATCAAAATAAAAGTCTGTTCCTCATTGGATTATTTATGATTACGTTTTAGGAAATTATTCAGCAAGTTTTTAAAAGATTTAAATGTTTTTAAAACACCGACATTGAGAGAATGTTGTCTTGTGGCGTCATGCGGCAAATGCTTATTTCAAGACATCAAAATGCCCACAACTAAAAACTTGCAATCACATTGCTCGTCAAAATCACAAATGGTAGGCCATCGGTGTTTGCCTGTGAGTTCTGCGGTAATGGAGACATCAACTTACATGGTAAGAATCGAGTATCTAAAGGCATTTACTTGTATTGTTTCATCCCTATTGTTGCATATGTTCATACATTTCCTGGTAGAGGAAATGCTAAACAAAAATTGTGTGAAAGTTGGTATAATAGTTATTTGTGGAGTTGAGATAACTATATAAATAATGCCTTATTTGCAATTTTTAATACAACCTGCAACGGGAACTGATGAGCAGTTCATAGAAAGGTAAATTTTGGTAAACATGTATATTTACAAGCACATAAAGTTGAGACTATTCGCTTTCACACAGCGGCTGATAGTTAAATGGTTCAAATTTATTTTAATTTTTCGAATAAGTAAGAAATAAAGGCCATTGATTTGCCACTTTTTTAAAAATACCAATCGTTTGCAGTTTAAGTTATTTTGTAAAAGATATTCCAAAAGTTGCCGTACTCAAGGTACTTCCGTTGACGTCGCAGAATAAACTTTTTCAATAGAAGCCTTGGAAGCCTGGGGTCTTCGCCTTTTTCGAAAGGCCATTGATTTTGCAAGTTTTTTAATCTGACCAATCGTTCGCAAAGTCTTATGTTATTTTGTAAAAGATATTGTAGGTACTCATTCTTTCGTTGATATCACAGAATCAACTTATTCAATAGAAGCCTCTGGAGCTTGGGGCTACGCCTTTATGCACAAGAAATGATATATATTCTTGGCGGCCCCCTCTTTTTCAGCAACACGGATAGGTGCAAGTCATCAACTCGAAACAAGCGAAAGCGAAAGTAAAAATTGCTATTTTTGCCCATTTTTGTAAAGCCTCGCTGGGGAACCCTAGGGGCATAGGCATTTGGCAGTTCATGCCCTCCTTAGAATGGGGTATGGGAGCTGCCACGCCTTCTCCCACTCCGCTTACCACGCTCACAATGATCGGCTGTGAAGAAAGTTTCCCCGTATGTATACTATTTCTAATAAAAGTCTTAGAACGTTGCAAAAACTAAAAAACAAGTATGGACGTGGATAGAGGTTTTTGAGACAAGTATAACGGTATATTTTTTTTGTGGCGGAAATGACAACAACGGTAGTTACGAAAGGTCAATGGTTGTTGTTGTTGTTGTAGCAGCATACAAATTCCCCAAAGACTTTTTGGGGAGTGTTGCTGGAGTGACAGTCCTTGGCCAGATATAAATCTGGGTCGTTCCGGTTACGTAGACCCGACTGTCGTGGGAACGAAAGGTCAATGGTCAAACGCAGCGCTTTTTTCAAATCCCAATATCTCGAAAACGGATTATAGAAATTTTTATGTCATTCAGAAGAAAATATGAGTCGCTTTAATTAGATAGGTATATAAATGTTATAAATATCTTTTAAAGATTTAGCAAAAATCCAATTTACGTAAAAAGTAGTACCAAAAATTTTAGATACCAAATTTTTTCTTTAAAAACATGAGTCAAGCTTTTATTTGAAATAAAACATACATATTGTGTTCAGTCCTCGCTAATCGGAGTATTTCAAAAAAACGTGTTCTTCGGCAACACGGAAAGGATAATTCTACTTAGTAAAGGTTATAATCAGGCATGGACAGAGACTAATATTACATTTACATTGGACCAAAATGCGTGATTTGAAATCAGTCATTTGAAGGTGTTTACACTGCTTGATCCGCATTTGCTTTGACTTCTCATCAAATGAAAAGGGAAGACAAAAACAAAATGTATGTAAACAAACACTACATTTATTATATTGTTAACGCTTTTTGGACACAAAAAGGCAATTATTCTTTGATTAAACTAAAAATGTGTAAAGCTCTTGTATAAATTAACAATTTTTACACACAAATTTCAAAGATTTATTTATTTCGTTGTGTTTGTTTTGTGTTTGAAAAATTCCAAATGTCAAAGACAAACCAAAGCTTTTGTGGAACTTTTGTTTCTGAGTGCGTTCAATAAAATAGTACGGCAATTGGAACGCATTTGTCTCGTGATTTTGTGTAAATGCGTCGAAATGCGTCATTCTGGAAATGTGAATTTGTATGGAGAAATGCGTGATTTGGCCTCGCATTTGAGGTTTCTCGCCCAAATGACGCATTTGGGCTCAATGTAAATGTAATATTAAAGCTTAAACAGGCGGCAGCTTTGATCGGATCAACTTGGGAATTAACTGCAGTTGATCCGGATTAAGTGCGAGTTAATCCGGTTCAACGCTGCCGTCTAAGCTTTTAGAAGGTGCTAAAAGAGCTTAACCCGCTTGTTTTAGAACCCGAATTTTCGTAATTCGTAGCTACGCTACGAAAACCATGCGGAAACATGGGCAGCATGCCAGCTATCAGTGGATTTTCGAAGATAGCTGAATGAAGGAAAACAAAGAGGAAAGGAATTAAAAAATCACTCATCATGTGTTTGTTTATTGTAAAATTGGTTAACTAAATATTTTGAGGAAAATTATGGATTCTGATGTATTTGCAATTACAGCAGCAGAGTAAGCGGGCGCTATGGCAATGGATTCACAAAGGTATGCGGAGATGTCGGCCATAGTAACCATGGGCGCATCTATGTCAGCTTCTGGTTGAATTGTTAAACCACAAGCCCGAACTCCTCCTATGCCTGAAGCTCTGGTTCTCAATCCAGTTAATACAATAACAGCTTCTTCCAAGCCATTGAAAACATGCACTTTGTTAGGTCCACCACCTGTTTCGCTTGCTTCTGCCTTCGGCCGCGCTTAGGGTTTATAACCCTTAGTAAGTAGAATTTTTCTTTCTTTGTTGAGGGGCTTCCGCATGTCAAAGGTATACAACATTTCTTGTGCATATCGCTCCGGCTACGCCGTCCACAGTATTTTTGCGCAGAACCCACGTCGAAATTTGCAAAAAAGTGCATAGTGCAAACCGAGTATATAAATAAGCTAGTGGTAGGAAGTTTTAAACATCTTAAATAAAATTTGAATCCTTTGATTACACGTGTATGTTAAAGTTTTTGGATTCGGGTTATGCGTTTGGACACAACAACCGAAAATTGTTGTACAAATAACTAAACACAAATTTCTCGATAAGGGGCAACAAAGATTCTTTTTTTTCTCGTTTGTATAAAGCAGTGGATAAAAATATTCGTACATACGAAATGCAAATTTATCTGTTTAAATGAACACCACCAATATTTCTTGCAAACACACATCGATTTACATCTTTTATTTCGCCTCCGACACACAATTGGTTACGAATTTCGAAAGTTGGAAAATACGATTCGGATTGCAGCATTTCTACGATTTGTAGCAAAATCCGAATATGAAACAGTTGCAGAATAGGGGTATAAGTATCGCCTGGACGTAGGCAACTGCTTGCAGAAGGGCCCTCGTCCAGGTACGTCAGGAGGCATCTCTACGAACTGACGGACGAAGTCCAGAGGTCCACTAAACAACCTCTGGACCCGTCAGCTTATCGACAGAACCTGAACGGCATTCTCAGGTAGTCAGTCTCGTGTTATGTAGACTCCAGACCTGTGAATGTCGTTCTAGTCGCACAACCACCGGGCATTGACGAGACGGAGCTTCATCTGCCTCGGGAGACTAGAACCCCAATAGTCCAACTTCACTTTGGCTACAGAAGCAAGTTAAACTTATACCTGAGCAGACTAAACGCAGATGTACCAATTGAGTGTCCGGCATACGGAGATACACCCCATGACTCGTAACATCTTTTCGTATGCCCGGAAAACCCGACAACCCTAACGCTTTTGTCCGGACCGACCCTATTAAGGCTCCACGCTTCTTGGTGCTGCCGTTAGTGGAATTTGACGACAAAAACTGAGATATTCATGCCTATTACGGTATCCGACGGATGCCATCCGCACGGATCTAATCCCATTCGCACTGTCATAACAAGCGAATGAGAAGGATTAGATTCATTATCGCCCGATAACTCTCCTTTCCCCGGTAGCGAAGACACTCCAGGCCCTGCTGCTCCCGTACTTCACGACCCACCTGACCCCAGCGAAGCATCAACATGGGTTCCGTAAAGTGCATAGTACAACAACAGCACTTAACGCCATAAACTCTCAGATAACTCGTGGCCTAAACCGAAACCGCCCCTGTGAGAGAACTATTCTAGTAGCGTTGGACCTGTCGAAGGCGTTCGACACTGTCAGTCATTCAACGCTACTAGAAGACATAGAGGCCTCCTCACTCCCACAGGTACTCAAACGGTGGTCGGCGAATTACCTGAGTGGTCGACACTCGTCAGTAATCTTCAGAGACAAAACCAGCAAGCCACGTAAAATTAAACAGGGGGTACCACAGGGTGGTGTCCTGAGCCCGCTTCTGTTTAATTATTACATATCAAAGCTTCCTCAGCCACCAGAGGGTGTTAATATAGTCTCATATGCTGACGATTGTTCGATCATGGCGTCTGGGAATGGAATTGATTACTTGTGCTGAAAAGTTNTTGTTCGATCATGGCGTCTGGGAATGGAATTGATGACTTGTGCTCAAAAGTAAATGGTTACCTCTCCGAACTTTCTCGCTTCTTCACTGCAAGGAGCCTTGCGAAATCCTCGGCAACCCTTTTCACCACCTGGACGAAGGAGGTCAGACTGCCACTGGGTATTCACGTCGATGACGTAACAATACCGACGGTGAATAACCCGAAAATCCTCGGAGTTACCTTCGACAGTCTGCTCTCCTTCTCGGCGCATACAACCGCAATTGTCAACAAAGTACAGAGCCGCCACAATGTCCTCAAGCGGCTGGCCGGCAGCACTTGGGGCAAAGATAAAGAAACGTTGTTGGCAACATACAAGGCAATTGGCCGGCCGGTTCTGAACTACGCAGCGCCCGTATGGTCGCCGGGGACTAGCAGGACGNTTGTCAACAAAGTACAGAGCCGCAACAATGTCCTCAAGTCGCTGGCCGGCAGCACTTGGGGCAAAGATAAAGAAACGTTGTTGGCAACATACAAGGCAATTGGCCGGCCGGTTCTGAACTACGCAGCGCCCGTTAGGTCGCCAGGGACTAGCAGGACGCAGTGGATGAAGCTGCAGACCTGCCAAAACACTGCATTACGAACCGCGACAGGATGCCTCCTGATGACGCCTCTACATCACCTTCACGACGCGGCCCAGATGCTCCCGGTAAAGGAGCATAACATAATGCTCTGTAAGCAGTTCCTCGCTGGGAGCTACAGACGTGGCCATCCCATCGGGCAACTGCTCGCGGAAGAGCCCTCGCCGCGGCACGTCAGGAGGCATCTTTACGAACTGACA